AAATTACAAGCTTTTCCCTGAAAAATTTTATATATCGAAGCAGGAGAACAGAAACTCACTAAAGTCGCGTGACATCGATCCAAATAATTTCGCGGTTGCGACCTCCCAGTTAAAAAGAGGAAGAGAATTTCATAATTATAAATAAAATATTGTTCAAATGTACATCCTCTCCTCGATCATCACGAGTCATCATGTCGGTTTAACAAACTCTAAAAAAATAGACAAAGGTATTAGACATACGACTAATGCGCTAATTTAGATTCGCATTTCATTGAACGTGCCATGCTGAGTTCAGTAAATAAATGTCCGTATACGCTTAATATCCCCAAGGCAGCATCCGGATCACGAAATAATCAACGCGTAAATATTATTACAACTAATACTTTTCAGACAAATGGCCGCCGTTGTGATCTTCATGACGACTTTTTGCGTGTAAAATCCGCGAAAGTGAAGTCGCCGAGTCTCGTCAGAGATCTCGCCGCGTATACGTAGTGCAAATTGACTGGGGCCGCGTTCTAGACTCAAGTCTCTCTCTACGACACACAACGGATATAATAATAGTAACGCGCGGTGTTGATAACGGACTCGGTAAAAAGCCGATTGACAATCAAGTGACAATACATTTCGTCGGCGATCAGGCCGGCATGCCGTCGGCGGAGCTCCATCGACCACGCGGCCACTGAAAGATTCGCAGCAGTCGGCACAACTTCAGAGCTACGAAGTAGTAGGATAACATAAAACGCGTTGCCTCTTACCCTGGCCACTCCACGAGCGACTCCCACCTCCAAGAGAAGGAGTATATCTCTCCTCCCCGCTGAGTAATATAATTTATCACGCGTCATGAACGCAACAAGAACACGCCGGTAAGACCGGCAAGTCCAACCGGGCGCACGAAACGCTTCGCAAGAAAAGTAATTGTGACAATAAATTAGGGGCAAGATAATAATAAAGACTGCTGTAGAGAGAGGAAATTTAAGATGAGGGAGATGTTAGCAGAATCTTAATTTCGGGCTTAATTATTCGTAGCTCGTTGAAGACTTAGTAAAGATGACATGCTCTCCCTCGACATTCTTGCCAAGAAAGATGACTCCCGACTTCATCACAGCGACACTATATGCACATCCTACTGATTGTAGACCGTAATTTGAATTTCACTGTCTCGACTTTATCAAGGTTTGACTGCAGTCTTTATGAATAATGCATCTTTTGTGCTCGTGGAGCCAGCTCGTGACAGTTCGCGATCTCGAAAGGGCGTAACGTAGGAGTGTCCAGAAAGATCGGCGGTACCAAAGAATGCGGCCGAGCCGCAATGGATTTCGCGCGCACCTCGTTACTTAAGGAGGAAGCGGTCGCCGCGAAACCGCGTACCGGTCTGGGTGGAGTTACCCGCGGCGTTGTACCGCCTTTGACAAATACTTGGAAACAGGGTAGCAGGAGCAGAACCGGAGAAAGAGAGAGGGTGAATCGTCGTTAGGCAACGGAGGATCACGCAGTGACGGATTGCGACGACTCGATGAGTTTTCATATAATTAGCGAGTATCAACGATCGTCTAAATCTTGTTTAAAGTTTACTAAAATTCCATCTGACTTGCCGCAAAGCGTTTTGAAAAGTTTACCTTTAAGTTTTTGGTGTTAAATTGAATTTATATTCTTTTATAGGTTTAATTATATCAAGATGAAAAATATATTTGAGCTCAAATAGCTCTCATTTTTATTTGCATATGTTGTTATATATTCATATGCAGTAATAATCCTAGTCCGTGTTAGTAACTATCATTAATATAAGAAATAGTAACGATGAATAACGAGCAAATTTTAATAAACAATTAATATACTTAGCATGAAAAAATTATACTGCTTTATAAATTCTAAAGAAAAATATAATGTCTGTATTTTGCTGAAGCAAAGGATCTTAATTTCTAAATGTGATTAGAACAAAAATGACAATAAAAATAAGCGACAATTTTTCTGAAGTAGATTCAGCTTTCACATCTCGAAATACGAATATCAAAAATTTAGTAAGATTAATTTATTAAATTAATTTTTTAAATGTATCAAACTTATTTTTGAGTATTTAAACGGTAGATATTGTTTATATCAACAAGCAAAATTGTCACAAAATTGGAAATCAATGAAAATTAAGAGAAATATAAAATTTTCTAGAAAATTTAAATTCTTGACTTTAAAAACGTAATAATTAACATATATGAATTAAATTGCTCTTTTAAAATGTTTGACGATTTTCAAATCAGGACGAAAATTTAAAAAAAATTCCAAATATTATTGAAGGCATCGGGAAAGATCATGAAACGTTGTCTCTGGACATCAGAGAAAAGTTATGGAAGTTTAGAGTGAGAAATTTGTGACAGCCCTGATAAGGGATACGAGACACGTTGATCCGTCACTGCGCGGAGGCAGTGAAAAGAGGAGTGTACACGGCCCACTTCCTTTCCACCGAGGAATGCTCATCGAACGCGGTCGCCGCACGTACTGATCCCGCTCGAACATGTTCCCCTGCGAACGCAAGTTTCGAGTGTGACCCGGCCTGGGGACATGGGCACGTCCTCGGCGAAGGTCAACGGACTCTTCCGTTGCTCCACTACGCCATCCGCGAGACATGCGTGGGTGTGCACACGTGCGTACGTAGTACGTACAATACGTACGAGTACGAGCGTGCGTGCGTGCGTCCGTGCGTGCGTGCGTGCGTGCGTGCGCCCGACAGCTGGCGGGTGTCCGTCCAGCTTCGCGTCGATCCCATGGAGTGCACCCGTTATCGACATGACCCACGTCATTGCGAGCGCGAATGCGCGTCGAGGGGATACCGACCAACGAACGGGTTATGCTTCCCTACTATGTTGCGCGGCAGCTCGACATCTTGCGGTCCGCGCGGATTCCTTACCGCGCGACGAGATGATCGCGACACCGCGGAATGCACGCGCGCACGCTCGAATACGAAACGCGCCGCTGCGATTGCTGCGAATATCGTGGAGATGCGTTTCGGCAGCTGCCTGTTCTGTCCACAACGGAACGATTTACCGCATTTGATCGCATCTTCCGCACGTAAAATAAAATCAGTCGCGTCAATCCGCAGCGAGGAAGAAGAGAGGAGGAAAAAATAAAATTACATGGAGATTTAAAGCAGAGAGAAGATGAATTTTATCGTGCGCGCTATTATCCAGTATGATTAATCGACGATCGATGATTTTAGAAGCCAATTCATCTCGAGATAAAATGTATAAAAATTGTACAGGGAGGGAAAATTCCACAAAAACCAAAATTAATGGCTGATTTAAAGAGCAAAAAAGCTGAGTTTGAAAGATAATTGTTCTTCTTTTATGTCAGTTATTTAATTTTTATTACGTAATTAGTTTTTTAATTTGATTGACTTATTTTCTAAGATTATTACTTTTCTACCGTTAAATATTCCATGTAATTTTATTTTTTATTGTAATTATGCCAGAAGGTTTGCGGGTTATCGCTGTGTCTTTCTTCATTATTAATGCCGACGTTTCGTGAACCATGCCGTTCACTTCATCAGGGCGAGGGGTGCGCTGATACTTTTATTTTTTATTCTTTATGAAATAAAAAATGTAAACCATTTTTCTCTCTCTTTTCTTCCTAGTTTTAATCAAATAATAAAATGTGAAATAAATCATACGTTATAAAAAATTCGCGGATTAATTCGTATTTTTTAAATTATGAAATTGCAAAATTCTTGACAGTTTCAAAATATTATTAATATTAAATACTGACTTTTCGGTTATTTTTTACTGTCATAACTTTTGAATTTTTCGTTCAAATATCGGCGCGTTTTTCATTAAAAAATGGTGTAATTTTCATGATGTTATAGCAAAATAACGAATGATAAAAATAACTTATTCATGTTTTATAAAATCTTTACGAGATTCAAATTTTGATATAAAAATGCGAAAATATATAATTTATCTTGAAAATATTTTATAATAACCAATCCTGTAAAAAAAACCTTACAAAAGGTGTACTTGACGTTATGCCACTACCGCGTCGCTTTATATTATAAATATTATTTATAAATAAGTATTCATGTTTTTTACGTGAAGAGTAACTTTTTGAAGCTAAATTCGGAATATATTTTAAAATGTTCTTTTTCGATATTGAACTATCCAATCAATTAGATCCCATTTCTGGTCTGAAATGATATTATTACTCAAATTTTCCTCACTGCATCTTGGAGGGGAATAGCTATTATAGATTAACGAATTGTTACAGTTTCATCCGAACTTGAACTCTACTTATTGGGCGCATTCAACGAATTCAAATATTGAATTCGCTGAGAACGCAGCCATATTGTTCAAACTGTCCGAACAGTTCGATCGTGCAACTTTTTGGATCTCTCCTATTTTATGCTGATTCTACAATGAATCGGTAGTCAGGGGTGCGTTCAGGAATGATGCTTAGATAACTCTTAGGTGCATTTTTTCTATAATATACGTAACGCAAACTATAGCCTAGAGTTACCTAGGTGTGATTCCTGAACGCAGTCCTGTAGTCTTAAGTCTTATCGGTAAAGTTGATCAATACCCAACTTGTACGATTAACGCTGATTGGCCAACTTGACGACTACAAACTCATTGCAGAATCAGCTTTATGGGCCTTCTACAATAAGCCGAAATCATAAGTCATAAGCTAGAAATGGACCAATCACAGTCGTCAATATTTAGTTTCTTACTTCCGATTTATGACTTATGGCTTATTGTAGAAGGCCCATAAACGAAGCATTTAAAAAACCGCAAACTGACCAACTTCGTAACATAAAAAATAAAAAAATCAAAGAAATTGAAACTAATCTGTACGTCTTGGTACTAAAATTTACAATAATGATATCGTTTTAATTAGTCCGACTTTTGCGTGACTCGAATGGGACTACGGTTTCGCGCCGATGGATAAAATCGACATCTCGTGACGGCGGCTTTGCAGCGGACACGTGACTGCGTCAGTGCGCAGGAGCGACCGAGAATGGTTGTCGATGTTGCAGGCGCAGTGTTTTCACGACGTCGATTTTCACGTGACAGTCCGCGGAAGTGCGCGGGAATCCAGCCGTGTAATGGTGTGAGATCTGAGAAGGCATTAAGTACGCACATCTTACGACACACGATAAACGCATTTCCCGACGTTCCGTTGTCGCTCCGCCGAAATGCCGGAGGAGGAGAACTTTTGCAAGAAAATGTCAAAAGCCACCAGGGGAATACACGCAATCAGCGATACTCTGGTGAACGCGAAACTGGCATTTGGTAAGGATCGCGAAATACTGTGAGGATCTATAGAGATATTGTAAATATATGACGTTTTATTTGAATTTCTTAACACAAACTGCAACTTGATTGCATATTATCAACAAAGACAAAGATTTGTCAGCAAGATAAAAGCATGATAAACAATACGTTATTCTTTCATTTGTTCTATATATAGCGGTCATTGTTTGTGCTTTCAATGGTTATTGTATGTCAATTTTTTAAGGCATGTATTAATAGTCTGCCTTTATTTTAAAACCATCTTAAATAATGTCTCAAGATGCTCATATGGTTCATGACATTTTGGCCGGTATTCATAGTCGGTTCTTATTTCAAGACTGCCTTAAATAATGTCTTAAGATGCTAAGCGGCCTTCTGATTGGTTCGTAACTCTTCAAGACTGAACTTAAGACGGTCTTGAATATAAGAACCGACTATGAATACCGGTCTAGATAATCTTAAATAAGAATCGACTATATATATTCATCTTAAATCTTCTATCACTTGGCAAGTATATTAATAATGTCTGAAGAATAAGTACTACACATTGAATATATACAACCTATATAACAATAAGTTGATATTCCACACAATGAAAAATCTGGTTCAATGATCGTTACAATGCAATGTAATAATTACAATATTCTACAACTAGGATTTCTCGATGATTCTGTATGGGCTGATGGACTTCTGGTTTTCTACGAGGTCTTTCGCTACCTGGAAGGTGCAATGATTAGATTAAGGAACACCAAAATTGGATTACTTCCACTCAGTGAGCTTCAACGTACTGAGGCCTTCGAACGCGATCTTGATTATTATTTGGGGAAAGGATGGAGGAAAAACTACAGTCCTAGGTACAAACTACATACAATAACCATATAATAATGTTGTTAAAATAAAATCGCTTTATTTTCCTCCACTTTTATTATAACTAATAAAGATATGAGTACCATATTACAATGAGTAATAAAAAATATCAGTCTTTTACAATAGTATAATTGATACAATTAGTATAACAGTATAATTAGTATAATAGTACAAACAGTAATTATTAATCAAAAGAAAACTTAATCCTGAAGTCCGTTTTACAAATTTTAGGGATAGCGTTGCCAAATATCTGATGCGCTTGAGAGAAGTGGAAGACACAGATCCTACTTTATTAATGGCTTATATCTACCATCTTTACATGGGTCTTCTCAGCGGCGGTATTATTCTACGCAAAAAACGGCAGATCATACTAAAAATTTCGCCTTTTAAAGCGCAACCGTCGAGCGATGGTAATAATGTCACAGACTTTGGGCAGAACAGTATATTTCAGTTAAAGCATGACTTGCGCGAATCAATGAACAGAATCGCAGAGACGTTGGATGAGGACACGAAAAATAAACTTATCGAAGAAAGTAAAATAGTTTTTGAATTGAATAACGAAATAATCAAAAGTGTGCAGACGGGCAGTCATGTTTTTGAAAAAATATTCTATTTTATTGGCCCAGTTTTATTGATTCTTTTTATCCTGATCATCGTCCTCAATATCCTTTATAAATACATTATACGTTAATAAACATTAATTCAACGCTAATTTAACGTCAATTTACTTAAAAAAAAAGAACGGTATAATATACTTCTGTTCGGCCAAAAAATGCTTATATCAAAATCGAAATGTATAAAACTACTTCGCTATTTCGCCTTTCTATAGTTATATATACAGATTATTATTGTTATTTGTACAACATAATTAAGAATATCACATTTCATACAGTTTACAACGTCGAAAATATTGAATTACGAAGATTTGGTAAAATTGATAAATTTTTTCTATTATTTTAAATCCACAAAAAATGCTTTTTAAATCTTACTTGCAATTTGCCTGCAGCTTCCACGAAAAAGAAACTTAATATTTTTCTCTTTACCAAATCTTCCTCTATAATATCAGTTTCTTTCCAATAGCAACATTAACGTGATAAACTCGAAGATTCAACTTCAAAGTTGAATCTTCGAATTTATCACGTTAATAATATATGTGTGAGTGTATATGTATGTGTGTATATATGTATATATATGTATGTATATATATGTGTGTGTGTGTATATATCAGGAGACGCGGTAGTGTCTCCGGCCATGTTCAAAAACTGAGAGACATTACAAGTCTCTTATCCCGAGCCACCAAAGTCCATTTTTGGGAGGTGCATAACTACTAAAATATAAAAAATTTTGAATCGAACATTACTTATATGTCCTGCAAGGCGGCATTACCACAAGTAATTTGAGCCAAAAAAAATTTTAAATCAGTCAAGCCGTTCTGGAGATACAAGTGGTCGAAAAGTGGTGATTTTAATGAAAAATTAAGAAACGTTTCCTTCTCCTCCTCTGTCCGCATTCAAAATTTTTTAAACCGCCATTTAAACTTTACAACATCCTCTCTCACCTTTCACTCGCACCTCCACCATCTTCGGCCCACCGGACCTCCTCCTCCTCCCACCGCTCCTCTCTTTCGCCGTATTTCACACTTTCGTTATTACAACTTTTTAACATATTCTATATTCTGCTATCGAAGAGATACTATTGGGTTAAGGAAAAAGCCTTTTTTATACATATATGTAAAAGAACTTTTATTTTAAAATATCTTTGTCAAAAATTAAATTTAAATTTAAAAAAAAGAGTTTAAACTTTACTTTCGAAAGGTTACTATATTTTGTGAATTTCTGTGAGTTTGGTAATGTTTACATATAAAAAACTAAGCTGAAAAAAATGAAAATTTTTCTTTTCACTTTGAGTCTTTTATATGCCCAAAAAAAATTTGTAAAAATTTTCGACACTTATCGTGAAAGCTTGAAATTTTCCCTACAGAATAAATTTTAAAAATGTTCCTACGATTTTTTGTTCCTCATTCACGAGTTAAGTAAAGGAGCATTCTGATTTTGATCGTTCCGTTAAAAATCATTATTTCATAATTAAAATCCGGTTTTTTAAAGCTGAAATTTTGCTCTATCGAATAATATAATTGCAACGGAAATTTCGCAACAAATGGTGAGTTAAAGAAGTCTTTTTGTTGTACATATGTGTAAAAGAACTTTTTCCCCAACCCAATATTAAAGACCATCAACCTGAACAAATTTTCGTTCGTTCCAAAAGCGCCCGGAGGGTTCAAAAGTAATTGTAGAACGTTGTCATTATCGACTATTAGTATAAATTTGCGATTATTAACATAAACATTTGGCATTATTAAAATCATGATATTTTATTATGTAAATACTCTATAAATATGTATGTATACTTATAATTTTTTTATATATTGCCGCAAAATTGCAATTTTTTTTCGCTACAGTTATCATCTTAATTGATAATTAAATTTGAACGGTAACATGAAAATTATAATTTTAAATAAAAATCAAGTGTTATTGAGGTTTAAATGCTTATGTTTATACAATACATGTATACGAAACTAATAAATCATAAAATTAGTATTATATTATTAGTCTCTTACTCTTTTAATCACTTATAAATATTAATAAGGATGCGAACTTTCGTAAAAATATCGGTCTTTAATAGTATCTCGTCGGTAATTCGACCAAGCTACACTTAAAAATTTCTGTGTAAATTTATGTCCATATTTTATTCTGCAAATTATTACAAGTAATTAAATAATTTCGTATGCCAATAAGCACCTTTATAAGAATATATAATATTTGCAATAAATTATTTGCACACTTAAAATTCTTGTTAACATCAGATTATTAATATTTTTATAAAAATGCTTACTAATATCAAATAATTAAATTGCTTGTCAATTTAATAAGTGATATTACTGTTCTGATTTTCTCATAATTGCGTTTCAAAATCGAAAGATTTTGACGCGCGGTTTGCAGAATTAGAATTATGTATATAAATTTACACAAAAATATATTTAAATAAACTACAAAAGGGACATAATGGGGGCCAATATGACAAAAAAATGAATATTAACCAATAACAATTTATTATAATTATTAATTTTTTTACATTCAACGCACATATAATTCTTGGTAATTATAATAATACTTGCATATAATCTTAATACAATCGCACAATTAAACCTCCTTTTTTATAAATTTAGTCGCCAAAAATGCCTGTTCTCAAAAAATACGTCTTGTGCCTGTTTCCATCAATGCAGATTAACTTTAATCTCGGTTTAACTTACTATTAATCTTTCTCTAATTTTTAGAATTAGAAAAAGATGAAAAACAAATTGAACCGAGATTAAAGTTAATCTGCATTGATGGAAATGGGCATTAATGCTCCTTTTTTAGTTAATTTATTTTTGACGTAGTTCAAAGCACCAATTATTATTAAAAATATTTAAGTTCAGTTTTACAATTCGCAGTTAACTCTTAACCGAGGTTTAACTTATTGTTTAGCTCTTTCTAATTCTAGAATTGGAAAGAGATGAGGGATAATTTGAACCTTGGTTAAGAGTTAACCGTGAGTTGTGAAACTGGGCTTCAGTGTATTTATGTAACCATCGGTTAAACTAACCGATGGTTACATAAATATGGTGAAAGAGACGATTAGACACTAAGGGCCAATTTCACCAACGTCAGTTAAGCTAATCGACGGTTAATTCCAATGGAATTATCCAATCGCATTTGTCTTTGACCAGAATGAACCAATCACGGTTGACACTTTAACCGTCGGTTAGCTTAACCGACGTTGGTGAAATTGGCCCTAAGATTCATTTTGATCAAATTTATAATTTCTCTTATGGCGAATTCAGCATATATGCACTGTCTGACTGCTTTTCTTTTAAAGGTCATACTCGACAGAAACATTGTTCAATTCTTCTTGACATTCAACAAATGACAGAGATAAAACGATATTTATGTTAGTTCTGGTGCTGCCTTGCAGTGCGCACAGGTCGAATGTGTGGCACTGAAAAGTTTGCACTCAATGCGTACTAGTGCAGTCGGCGAATTCATTATTATTTAATCTTAAGACTGCCGGGAAGCCGATATATCGGCTCGGCCTATGATATGAACTTTGTATATAGTTGATACATGATACAAGACACAAATTTGGCCACTTTTAAAGGACGTTTTAATATCTCAAATCTCGGCAGTCTAAAGGTTAATTATTTTAATTAATAGGTAACACATTATTTCTATACAAATAATATTAAAATATTTATATACAGCTAACAAATTATTGACCTCTCGGTTACTCCAGCGATGCCCAATGTCTCCAAAATCTCGTTTTCTTCTCTGTCATTCCGTTATGACATTTAACGCAATAACACGTATTCACTCACGGAAACATGAATAATTATGCGCGAATTAATTTTCGGAATACGACGACACTTTGTCCGGCACTTCCGAGTTATGCCTAATTCACACTGGATGCGATGGGCGATGAACGATGAGCGATGTCCAATAAAAGCTTTGCTTTAGCTCACACGACGATGTAAAGCAGAGTTCTTATTGGTTATTGCTCGCCGCGCATCGCTCATCGCGCCTAGTGTGAACTAGGCATTATGCCTAATTCACACTGGATGCGATGGACGATAAACGATGAGCGATAACCAATAAAAGCTTTGCTTTAGCTCACACGACGATGTAAAGAAGAGTTCTTATTGGTTATCGCTCCTCGCGCATCGCTCATCGCGTCTAGTGTGAACTAGGCATAGTCGTACGCGACGGATACTTTATTGAGACGAAAGAATAACGCGAAAAGGGCACGAAACTATGACCTAGTTTACACCCAGCCGTCCAATCCCGATTCACTTCGAAGTGAAGTGAAATTTCTTGGATGTAAACGGATTAGTTCGACTGATTTCAATCCTCTTTTCTCAGCGGAGTAGAGCGAATCCGGTGTCCACTTCACTTCGAAGTGAATCGGGATTAGACGGTTGTGTGTAAACTATAGGTGTATGCAAGAAGACTAGAACCAAAGACATAGAGAATGGACTGCGCGATCCGTGTGTCAAAATGGTCAACAAAAATGAGAGAGAGGGACCGTGGAAGACGGCCATCTCCCTCTCATTCTCTCTTCCATTACACCATGGAATGGAAAAAGATAGAGATGGCCGTCTTCCACGGACCCTCTCTCTCATTTTCGTCGACACATTTTGATACTACATAGATACGGGATCGCGCAGTCCATTCTCTATGTCTTTGACTAGAACCAGGAGAGTAAACTCGGTCAAATATCGGTAGAGGGGGTAGGCCAAAAAGTGACGGCGGATAACTTTCCCCACTCTTGCACTTCATTAGTCCTCTCTGTCGCTCTGATAGTCGTTTTCAATTCGTAACTGCGCATGTCAAACAAACCTTGTTTGACATGTGCATTTAATGTGCAGTATAATTTCTTTTTACAACTTACTTCTGTTTAAGATAGTTTAAGAAGATTTTTTTTTTAAGTGTGCCCTCGGATGAGGGGAAAACAAAGGTTAAGAACAAGAACTTCTTGGTTATAACCGATGCGCGCATGTGCAAACTTTCATATAATGTGCAATGCCACTGCGCATTGTATGAATAACCGCGGACGTTTTTTGACCTACCCCCACCACGCTAGTTTACTCTCCTGGTTCTAGTCTTCTTGGGTGTATGATACACTCGGGACGTATATTCGGACGGACACTCGCAATATACGTCGTAGAGACGTAACGAAGATCCCGATCACAACCAACTTAACGCGACAGTTCCATCC